CCATTCTGCTTCAGGGAGTCCGGCAGGGTGTACGATTTGGTGATGCCCTCCGCACGACAGAACTGGCCAAGCTGACCGGAGGCAAACTCACCACCACGGTCAGAGTGGAGACGCAGCACGGGGAGGCCGCGGTGGACTTGCACATCTACGACCCACGAGATAAGGGCGTCAAGCACGTCGGCCTTCCGCTCCAGGGGAAACACCGTGGTGTAGTGCGTGAAGTCATTGACAAGCACTAGAAAGAAGCGCTCGCGACGCGGCCAAAGGGTCAAGAGTGGTAGTGGAGGATCGCCGGACAGGGAAGGGTAGTGGAGCTACGTGCGACTACCAGACCTGAGGAGCGGTCAGCAAGCGCTACAGCAGCAAGGGCAGCAAGCGGCATGAGCGAAGTGTGGTCGCGGAAGAAGCAGGCAGATGCTCCAGAGTCGAGCGTGATAGAGAGCGAAGCAGTAGCGTCTGCAGTAGCGACAGGTGGTAGGGGGACTAGCGTAGAGCCTAAGTTAAACTAGGCAAGAGGTCATACGCCTGACGCAGCAGGTGAACCTAGACTACATACGGGAGGCACACCAACACTAGGCAACACAGGGTCATAAGATCCGATCATACTAGAGTCATCAACATACATGACATACAGTACATAGTAGTCCTAATGTGATCCATGTCAAGCTCAAAGACAGGCACACAGCGGCGAGCCAGGGCGTATCAACCAGGAGGGTTCGAGGTGGGACCAAAGCGGAGATGGTTGAGGTCGTCAAGGCGGCGGTACCAGCGGGCGGCGGTGTGACCTGGATGGTCGCAGACGGTGCCGCGACGAGGGCCGTTCTGAATTTGGTACTGGCAGGTGGCCACACTAGAGCCGCCACCTGACACCGAGCTGCGCGGGGCACCACCACGACCACCACCACCAGCGCCACCAGGCCACCACCACGTCGGGGGTCCCCATGACAGCTGCTGCTGCTGCTACGACTGATGTTGTGGAGGCTGCTCCTAAGGCTGCTTCTGCTGTTGCGGTTGAGGCTGCTGCTGCGGCTGCTGCTCTGGGTCACCAGCCGCAATCCACTTGACTGCACCACCGTCCCAAGCCCCACATCCACCACCTCCACCACCCCCATCACCCCTTTCACCCTTCCCTCTGCCACGCCCCCCCTTGGGGCGGCGGCCCCTACCCGGACGCTACTGCGCTGAGGCCGCGGCAGCGGTCTTAGCAGCAGGGGTTGACTCAGCAACAGCGGCATAAACGTCAGAGTAAGTGCCTTGGGAGGGAGCACAGCCTTGGAAGATAGAGACCGGCGCAGTACCACTAGACTGCGCGATAGTGCGCTGGTGGGCCTCTATCGCGGACAGGGGGGTGACAAAGGCAGTGAGGGTGAGATCACCTGGGTGCTGACTAAGGAAGTGGTCGCGGGCAGTGGCTAGGCGGTCAGGCAAGCGTGTGGCAATAAGGTAAAGGGTAGCACAAGCGGTGGCGGGAAGGCAGTGAGTTGTGCCTTAGTGCTAGCGGTGCGGTAGCTAGTCTCCAGTAGGTCGAGGTGAGTGGCAAGGTCAGCGACAGTGGGGAAGGATGCAAGGTTAGGAAACAGCATGGGGAGGATCAGGTGGTTAATGGCAAGTTGAGCAACAGCGTTGCGCGAGTCCCAGACAGCGCAGGCAAGCTCAGCAGCGACAAAAGCCTCACGCTCAGCAGACGTGGGGTCGTCAGGGAGGGCAGCAGGCGGGGCGGGGCGAGGGAGCTTACCGTCGACATGGACGGCCAGGGAGTGGCCGTCCTGGTGCTGCCCGATCAGCTGGCGGCGGAGGTGGACGAGCCACGCCTCAAACTCAATGGCCCGACCCTCCGCGTCTAGGCGGAGCAATGAGTCTGCCATCACCACGGCTGCAGCAGCTGGCTGCCGCTGACAAGGGGAGGAGGGCAAACGGAGGAGGGTGGTGGAGTGCGGTGGGGAGCGGTGGAGCGCGGTGGGGAGCGGTGGGGAGCGGTGGAGTGCAGTGGAGAGCAGTGAAGTGCGGTAGAGACTGCCTGCGAGAGCGCCAGCTCAGAGGGGAAGCCAAGGCCGGCTGGCGGCTACGAACGTCCGGCGGTGACGGGCAGGCGGCTACAGGTGGACCAGCGGCGGCGGGCGGGCTGGCGGCAACGGGCGGCCAGCAGCGGCAGGCGGCTGGCGGCTGGCGGCAGCGGGCCGCCAGCGGCGACGGGCAGCGGCTGGTGGCAGCAGGCGGCCAGCGGCGACGGGCAGTGGCTGGCGGCAGCAGGCAGCCAGCAGGGATGGGCGGCTGGTGGCGACGGGCGGCCAGCGGCTATGGGCGCCTGGTGGCAGCGGGCAGCCAGCGGCGACGGGCGGCTGGCGGCAGTGGGCGGCTGGCGGCGACGAGCGACCAGCGGCAACGGGCAGCCAGCGTCGACGGTCGGGCTGGCGGCAACGGGCAGCCATCGGCGATAGGCGGCCAGCGGCTACAGGCGGACTGGCGGCGACGGGCGGCCAGTTGCAATAGGCGACCAGCGGCGATGGGCGACGGGCGGCCAGTTGCAACAGGCGACCAGCGGCGATGGGCGACGGGTGGCCAGCGGGCTACGGGCGATGGGCGGCCAACGGGCGACGGGCGACGGGGGCCAGCGGGCGACGAGCGGCTGGCGGCAAGCGGGGCTATGGGCGACGGGCGGCCAGCGGGCTACGGGCGACGGGCGGCCAGTGGGCTACGGGCGACCTGGGCCAGCGGGCTACGGGCGACGGGCGGCCAGCGGGCTATGGGCGACGGGGGCCAGCGGGCTACGGGCAACGGGCGGCCAGGGGGCTACGGGCGACGGGGGCCAGCGGGCGACGAGCGGCTGGCGGCTACGACGGTCAGCTAGGAACAGGCAGCTAGCGACGGGCGGCGCTTGCTAAGGCTAGGACTAGGGCGGAAGCGCGGGTGGCCAGGATCCTAACCTACTAGCGTGATACCAGAGTAAAAGATGGACTTCATGTGTGATACAGGGTGATTTTGTCTCAAGGGTTGTACTCTCTAATAGTACGCACCTATCTAGCCTATAGTAACATATAAATATATGTTTGACACGTCTTTCCTGTAATGAAGACTGCTTTGCCGCCAGCAGCACTGGCTGGTCGATTGCTTGAATTATGGAGGGTGAATGTGGCGCCCTCCCTGCTGTGGATGTGGTGGGTCGATGACCTGTATAATGCGAATGGTGAGACTGACTGACCCAGCAGGCTGCTGTGGAGTCATGCCGCATTCCTTCCCTCCCCCTCCCCCTTTCCGCTCCCTAACCTTCCACACAGCCCTATCCTTCCACACAGCATTGTCGCTTTATTGCCGTATCATGGTACACTTTTGCAGCCGCTTTTCGTCACCCTTCTGCCACGTCAGCTCCTTGTCCCTGTTTATCCCCTCTGCCACTCTTATTTCCCTCCTCTTTTCTGCCTTCAGTCCGCCAGTACTCGTCCAGGGGCTGCTTGAAGAGGAAGTAACCAGATGCCACGCCCACACTGCAGGCAAAGGATGGGGCGAAGGAATAGGGGGAACGGGCATCGGGATGTAAAATACGTCCAGTGGCTGCTGGAAGAGAAAGTAACCAGATGCCACGCGAACCCTGCAGACATGGGAAAGGGACAGGGATCAGGGAGAGGGATAGCAGGGAGGGACAGGGGGAAGAGATAGCGGGAAGGGACAGGGGGAAGGGCCAGGGGGAAGGAACAGGGACAAGGGACAGGAGGAAGTGGCGGGGGGAAGTGGCAGGGGGAAGGGACAGGGGGAAGGGACAGGAAAAAATATAGATTGAGATGTGTCCAAGCTGTCCAGAGGCCGGCTGAAGAGGAAGTAGCCAGATGCAACGCCCAGACTGCGTGCACACTGGGGCAGGGCTGTCATGCGCGCACGGGTAGGGGGAAGGGACAGGGGGAAGGGGTGGGGGAAAGGGGCAGAGAGAGGAGGGACAGGGGGGGGTGCAGGGGAAGGAACAGGCGGATAGGTGGCCGTTGATTGGGGGAGGGATATTGGGAAACAGGGTCAGCGGGGAAGTGGGGGATGCGAAAGCGGGGGATGGGCGAAGAGGGATGGGCAAGTGGGGTTTGAGACCGCGGAGGCGAAGGGAATGAAGAGGTGGTGCCTGCTGCTAGGGAGTGAGCGAGCTAGTTCCATGGGACCCGGAAAAAAACTCCCACCCTGGCATACTTCTAGTAATGGAACCCGAACAGGAGGTCGTGAGAATATAATGCCCTGCTAAAGTATAATATATTGGAATCGATATTCTCCCCCTGTAGTGACAAGGGGCTTGCGCGCCAGTGGCTTACATCATGGCAATCGCGACTTGATCGAGCGGAAGGCGAGGACGACGGTACATCTGTGACGGCTGCCGGCTGCTGACTGCTGACTGCTAGCCGTTGACTGCTAACCGTTAACCGTTGGCCGCTAACTGTTAGCCGCTGACTGTCGCCTGTTAGCGCAGCAGGTGGCAGAGACGGGCGAGAGAAAGCGCTAACGGGACAGAGGATTGGCAGGGAAAGACCTGGGAAGGCAATCGAAGAACGCGAGTGGGTTGAATCTACGTCGGAAGGGCCGTCGCTGCGGCACCTGTGGATACGAAATAGCACCGAATAACGAAGGCACCTGGTTGGTGCTTGGCTGGAAAGAAGCGAGCTGGTGGATAGTGGGGGAGTGCCTGCTGGATGGTTTTGATTGTGCCAGGTTTGGTTTCCGAACGTCTACACTCGAATTTTGCACTCCGAACGAACCATTTTGGGCCCGGTTTCCTCACTCTAGCCCCCGAAATGAAATCTGAACTGCAACTGATGTACTCGTTATGAACCGTTGTTTGTGTTACCCAGATGCTGTTCAGTTCGGGAATGAAAAGAGGGGTATTTCAACCTTGTTTGTGCTGCAGACAGAGTTCGTAAATATCGGTATATTTGAATCCAGAACCGAAACGACTCGCTTTCGTTGCGCGAATACCAAATCCCTTGGCCCACCTCCACCCCCAACCCTTTCCCCTCTGCAAATCCCAAGGTACAGGCGACGAATTCAGCCACGCACTCAGGAAAGAGTCTTCTCGTCAATTGAATCTTAGCTTGCAATCCCGCTGGCAGCGGCATTGCTCGTGCTGTAACAGCTGTCACAGCAGCAGCTGTCACCCATCCCATTGTTTTTTAGGGAAAGCTACCATCTAGAAGACGCGAGCTCGAGCCGCGCTGGTCACCAGATTCCCGTGTCGCCATGGACGCGATGCGGGAGAACCTGGCGTACTTAATCGACCAGCGGCTGTACGAGTCGGCTGAGATCCTCGTGAGTGGCTACGACGGTCAATAGTAGCCACAGTGTCACTAAAAAGCTCGGAATGCAGTGACCGTCACTGGATAGGAACGCATTCTAGGGTCGAACGAGGCAGAACGCGTGTGTATCATGCCTTGACAAAGGGATCATGATATGGTATCATATCATATCATATCATGCCCTCTCAGCTTTCCCGTTTTCCACTCCCTTTCCCCATTCTCCGCCGCGGACCTTATTTCCGATTCACCGTGCACCTGAATTCGGTCCCCTGCTCCTTCAGGGAAGCTTCCTGATCTCAGCAGCCGGGCCGGGCAGCGAGGTGTCGGCAATCTCGAGGGCGGAGAATCTGGTGCTCTACGCGGACGCGCTCTTTGGAAGACAGGAGTACCGCCGCGCGCTGGTAGGTGTCTCGCTCCCAGCCTCCCCTCTCCTCGCTCCTCCCACCCTCCCTCTCTCTTTCCCTCTCTTTGCCGACGCGCTCTTTGGGAGACAGGAGTACCGCCGAGCTCTGGCTGGTAGGAAGGTGCCTTCTTCCTCGCTCACTCCTCACTCCTCTCAGTTGGCAATCATCCCCTTTATGGAACCAGGCAGCGAGCTGGCGGCATTCCCAAGGGCGGAGAATCTGGTGGTCTACGCCGCGCGTTCCGGGCGGCAGGAGTACTGGCCCGCGCTGGTAGGTGTGCGTAGGTGTGCGGAGGCTGATAGTGCGCTGGTACCAGATGCCTCCCCCCTCACCTTTTGCCCCTTCCCCCTTGCCCCTCGCCTCTCCTCTCTCCCCTCTACCGCTAGGCGCAGCAGCTCCTCAGTTCTCCTCCCCATGGTCCCGTCCTCTCCCCTTCCCCTCTCCTTCCCTCTCCCTCCCCCCTCTCCTCTCCTCTCCCCTCCCCCTCTCCTCCCCTCTCCCCTCCCCCCTCTCCTCCCCTCTCCCCTCCCCCTCTCCTCCCCTCTCCCCTCCCCCCTCTCCTCCCCTCCCCCCTCCCTCTCTCCTCCCCTCTCCCCTCCCCCCTCTCCTCCCCTCTCCCCTCCCCCCTCTCCTCCCCTCTCCCCTCCCCTCTCTCCTCCCCTCTCCCCTCCCCTCTCTCCTCCCCTCTCCCCTCCCCCCTCTCCTCCCCTCTCCCCTCCCCTCTCTCCTCCCCTCTCCCCTCCCCTCTCTCCTCCCCTCTCCCCTCCCCTCTCCCCTCCCCTCTCTCCTCCCCTCTCCCCTTCCCCCTGTCCTCCCCTCTCCCCTTTCCCCACTCCTCCCCTCTCCCCTTCCCCCTCTCCTCCCCTCTCCCCTTCCCCCTCTCCCCTTCCCCCTCTCCTCCCCTCTCCCCTTCCCCCTCTCCCCTTCCCCCTCTCCTCCCCTCTCCCCTTGCTCTCAGAATCTCTACCGTCAGGCGCAGGAGCTCTGCATATCTCTCCTCTCTCCACTCCCCCCTTAGCCCCTCCTCTCCCCTGTCTCCCCTCGCTCCCTCCCCTCCTCCTCTCTCCCCTCGCTCCCTCCCCTCCTCCTCTCTCCCCTTGCTCGCTCCCCTCCTCCTCTCTCCCCTCGCTGGCTCCCCTCCTGTCTCCCCTTGCTCCCAGAATCTCTACCGCCAGGCGCAGCAGCTCTGCAAGGTGGCCGGCCATGCGGGCGGCAGCACTCGGACCGTACCCGGCAGCCCTGCCACTGTAGCCAGCGCCGGCCTGGGGAATGCCATCCAGTCAGGCAGCTACAGTGCAGGGGTGGGAGGGGGAGGGGGAGGGGGAGCTGGGGGAGGTACTGGGGGAGTGGGGCGGTATGGGGGGGTGGGGCAATCAGGAGGGGCAAGCGGGATAGGGGGGAGTGGGGGAGGGGGGAGATTGGGAGCTGGGGGGATGGCCATGGGGTGTTTGCCAATGGTTTCAGGGGCGGCGTGTGCGGGGGTAGGGGGCGGAGGAGGAGGGGGGTGTGTGGTTGGTGGAGTGGGTGGTGGTATGAGCATAGTGGCTCTGGATACAGACGTGGGAAAGGCAGAGGTGAGAGGGACACAAGATCATCGTTTCTGTTTCTCCCCTCCCCTTGCTCACTCCATTTTCCGTTCATTCTCTTGCCGTTTCCTCCTCATAGTCCCGCTCCCCTCCTTCATCCTCTCTATCTCTTGTCCACCCATCCCCCTCATACGTGACGTACCAGGTTCGTCTGAGGGTGGCGGAGTGCTACGTGGCGTTGAAGGAGGTCAAGCCTGCACTCACAGAGGTGCGTGCGTAAAGTCAACCAAGTCAAGCAATTCAATCTGTTGTAGCAGGCTAAATTAAGCAAAAAGGTTTGTCTGCCTGCGGGTGGCGGAGTGCTACGTGGCGTTGAAGGAGGTCAAGCCCGCACTCACAGAGGTACGCAGAAAGTCAAGACGAGTCAAGCGATTGAATCAGTTCAATTTGGTCAAACTATTCAAGCAGGTCAAACAAAGCAAATAGGTTCGTCTACGAGTGGCCAAACGACTGCTACGTGGCACAGGTCAAACACTATTCCCGGTATTTCCTGTGTTGCATATGTTTCGTTGCCTCCCTCCAACCCTATGTCCCCTCCTTGTTCCCCTCATATCACCTGCTCTCGCTGCACCTCAGCCTGTGGCCAATGCGCCTCAAATCTCCCTTGCCTCACCCCTCCTCCTCCCCCACTTCCCCCCATGCCTCCTGCTACCCCCAGCTGGAAGCCGTGCCTCACCGCCTGCGCTCGCTGCGCCTCAACCTGCTGCTGGCCCGCCTCTACCACTCCAGCAGCTACGACCGTGCTGCCCTGGCCGCTTACAAGGAGTGCCTCAGGTGCGCATCAATGCCTCAGGTGTTTTTTAGTGCCTCAGGCACCCTCTACTGCCTCAGGCGCCCTCTAGTGCCTCAAACTGCTGTTGGCCCGCCTCTACCACTCCAGCAACTGATAACGTGACCGCGCTGCACTGGCTGCATACAAGGAGTGCCTCAGGTACTCTCAGTTGCGCCTCAGGTACTCTCAGTTGCGCCTCAGGTACTCTCAGTTGCGCCTCAGGTACTCTCAGTTGCGCCTCAGGTACTCTCAGTTGCGCCTCAGGTACTCTCAGTTGCGCCTCAGGTACTCTCAGTTGCGCCTCAGGTACTCTCAGTTGCGCCTCAGGTACTCTCAATTGCGCCTCAGGTACTCTCATTTGCGCCTCAGGTACTCTCAGTTGCGCCTCAGGTACTCTCAGTTGCGCCTCAGGTACTCTCAATTGCGCCTCAGGTACTCTCATTTGCGCCTCAGGTACTCTCAGTTGCGCCTCAGGTACTCTCAGTTGCGCCTCAGGTACTCTCCGTTGAGCCTCAGGTACTCTCCGTTGAGCCTCAGGTACTCTCAGTTGCGCCTCAGGTTCCCACGTGCCTCTGGTATTCCCAAGGTTTACGGACTCTTTGGAACGATGGGAAGACTGACAACACCTGAGGCACTATTGGGAAGACACCCTCTTTTTCCAACGAGATTTGGGGTGGCGGAAAGGGGTTGAGACGAACTCCCTCCCACCCGACGCCCCCCTTCCCCACACCCACCTTCACCGCCACCTTGGCAGTGCACAGTGCACACTTGGCTTGGAGGCTCCTCTTAGAGTTTGACAAGCAGAGCCCCCTCCCCTCCTCCCCAACCACCCCCAGGGAGTGCCCTTTCGCCATGCAGGTCCTGGCAGCTGTGGCTCAGCTGGTGCTGTCCCCAAACCACACTCCCCGTACCCTTACCCTCCCCCCCCCCCCCCCTTCCCCCTCCTCCTCCGCAACCACCCCAGGCAGTGCCCGTTCGCCATGGAGGCCCTGGCAGCTGTGGCTCAGCTGGGGCTATCTGCCAAAGAGACCTGCGCGCTGCTGCCCCAGCAAGAGGTGAGAGATGGTGCATTTGATGTTGCTCCACTCAAGTGTCAAGGCTCAGCTGGGCCGACCTGCCAAAGCGACTTTGAGGCGCCTAAAAAATCCAGCTGGGCCTATCTGCCAAAGTGACCTGCTGCCTCAGCAAGAGGTGAGAGGTGGTGCATTAGCTTCAACAGCGACAAGTGTGGATGCCTTCACATCCCATCGGAATTCCTTTCATTTCATCACCCCAACCGTTTCGTCTTATCCCATCCCATCCCACGCCACCCCCTGCCCAACATCCCCACCCGCCATCCTTTTTCCAGCCCCTTCCCAGCACCCCTTGCGGCAGGGGGGCAGCAAAACGACATTCTCCTTCTTCATGCCATCTCCCACCTCCGCCCACCCTCCCCGCGCTCCCCCCACCCTCCCCGCACTCCCCCACCCTCCCCGCACTCCCCCCACCCTCTCCCCCCACCCTCCCTGCACTCTCCCCACCCTCCCCGCACTCCCCCCACCCTCCCTGCACTCTCCCCACCCTCTCCGCACTCTCCCCATCCTCCCTGCACTCTCCCCACCTCCCTGCACTCTTCCCACCCTCCCTGCACTCCCCCCACCTCCCCGCACTCTCCCCACCTCCCTACACTCTTCCCACCCTCCCCGCACTCTCCCCACCTCCCCGTGCCGTCTCTCCCCCCCAGCCCCTTCCGAGCACCCCCAGCAGCAGAGGGGGCGGCAAGGCGGCAGGGGCAGGGGAGGTGCACGAGTCGTGCAGGTGGCTGCAGAAGTATGTGGAGGCCCAGGCGCACCGCACAGCCAACGAGAATGCAGGTGGGGATTTCCAGACATCTATGTATGAGTGTACGATGGTGCATGAATGTGCATGAGTGAGAGCTTGAGTGGCTGCAGAAGTATGTGGTGGGAGCAGGGGAGGCACAGGCGCACACACAGCGAATGAGAACGCAGGTGGGAGCAGAGAAGGGGCAACGAGCATGAGTGGGGGTATGAGTGAGAAACGCGAGTGGGGGTATGACTCATGAGTGAGAGCATGAGTGACAGAAGTATGCAGAGGACACATAGGTGCACTGCCCAGTGCATGAGAATGCAGGTGAGAGCGGTCATGTAGGTTAGAGATTTCAAAAGCAGACACATCAGCAGCACGGTTCCTAGAAAGGAGACACGTCAGCTCAGAAAGTTGCCATAGTGGCTCGCTCTCGCCCTCCCTCTTCCTGTCTCCTCCAGCCAGCTTGGACGAGTATCAGCAGCTGGTGTCTCGTTTTCTCAAAAACCTGCACCTGCACAAGGGGCAGGTGGGCGCCCACTCCTCACCGCCTCATTCTTCTGCTCCTTCAATTCCCGCTCCCTCCAGCCAGCTTGGACGAGTATCAGCAGCTGGTGTCTCGATTCCCCAACAACGTGCACCTGCAACTGCACATGGGGCAGGTGGGTTCCTTCCACTCAGCTTCCTCTGGGTCTATCCGCCAATCACTTTCAGGCTGTCCTAGGCCACGCTGTATAAAACCCATGCGATTGTACCCGGTGTACTCCCTTCGCATACCAAGTAATGTTATCATTCTATAGAATGGCACCCATTGCGATGCTACCTGAATGTATGCCCAAGTACTTTGACCATGAGCCGATTACATGTCAAGCTCTCACATCCCATGCCATCCCATGCCATCCCATGCCATCCCATGCCATCCCATGCCGTCGCATTCCATCGCATACCATTGCATGCGTTCCCATGCCATGCCGTGTGCTGTCATCACCATCACCATCACCATCATCATCATCATGCCATGCGTTGCCGTCTTCGCCAGGTGGAGGCATCTCAGGGCCGCAACGAAGAGGCCATGATTCACTACCAGAAGGTGCTCTCGTTACTATGTTCTCTCGTTATAAGGTGGTCTTCTTCCTTATTATGTGATCTCGTTATTCTGTGCTCTTTTTATTAGGTGCTCTCGGTATACGGCGCTTTCGATATACAGTGCTCTCGTTATTAGTAGCTCTCGTTATTGTCTCGTACCCCCTTCAACATCCCCAAACTGCAAGTGGAGGGGGGCCACCTGGGGGGCGTAGGGGATAGGGGGGGGGGTTTGGGGGGGAGCGAAGCCAGGATCAAGAGGGGGGGGGGGAGAAGAAGTTGGGTTCATAGACTCGCTCATCCACCCCTTTTCCTTTTCCCACCGCAGGCCCGCACTCTAGACCCTTTCAACATCAGCTGCATGGACGACTACGCCCTGCTGCTGCTCTCCCGCCGCTCCCCCTCCTCCTCCTCCGCCCTGCCCGCCCCCAACCTGCAAGTAGAGGCGGGGCATCTGGGGGCGCAGGGGGAGGGGCGGGGGGGGTGGAGTTGAAGAGGCTAGCGGCGGAGATGCTGGGGGTGGGGGCGGGGCGGGCGGAGGCATGGGTGGTGGCTGCTGCGCTGTGGATGAGTAAAGGGGAGCGAGGGAGTGCCATGGCTTATGTTGAGAAGGTGAGTATGCTTGTATTGGGTATAAGAGGCTAACAAGGTAAGTGCTGGCAAGACGAGCGGGGCGAGTGGAGGCATGGGTGGTGGTTGCTGCGCTGTGGATGAGCAAAGGGGAGAGGGGCAGTGCGCTGGCGTGTTGAGAAGGTGGGTGAGCGTAGGTGTGTGGATGCAGTCTCTCTAGGTGAGTACAGTAAAGTCAGAATTCTCAAGCATTGCTCCACAGGGTGCACTCTGTCGAGGTGAGTGCGTTGCTGTGATATGAAGTTGACATGGGAAGTGTTTGCAGAAGCAGCAGGGAGGGCGGAGGCATGGGTGGTTGCTGCTGCTCTGTGGATGAGCGGGGGGGGAGTGAGGCAGTGCTATGGCATATGTTGAGAAGGTGGGTGTGTTAGCCTGTTGAGAATTCTCAGAAACATAACAAGAGTGCGGAGGTCAGGTGATTTGGTTGGCTTAAGTAATCCGCTAAGCCCCCCCCCCCCCCTTTCATTCCCCTCAGGCCCTTCAACTAGACAACCACCTCTTCCCTAAACCCTGAACCCTAAACCCTTATCCCCCTTCTTGCTTTCTCCATTTCCTCCCATTCCTCCCCTTACCTTTCTTCCCTGCCTTCTTCTCCCTCAGGCCCTTCAACTAGACGACCACCACTTCCCTGCTCTCCTAGCCAAGGTGCGTCTCATCCTCCCGATGTGTTCTGTTTTTTATAATTCTAAAAAACAGAACACATGTAGCTCTACGCTGCCTGTTTTTTTAGAATTCTAGATAACACAACACATCCTCGAGTTTGCAGGGTTTTTTTAAGAATTCTAAAAAAACACAACACATCCTCGACGACCATCACTTCCCTGCTCTCCTAGCAAGGTGTGTCTCGTCCTCCGGCCGTGCACCTCCAAGTCCCGGCCCGCGCTCTTCATGTTTCAGCAATCACGTGCGTTACACGTGCAATGGTTGAGGGTCTTGTTGAGCCATCTAGACACAGGCAGCAGTAATGGCGGCAGGACGAGCAGCCGCCCTCTATTCTCCTTCTCCCCCCGTTCAGGGCGCCATTCTGCTGTAAGCCAACTGGTTCGGGACAGCAGCGGTGGCAACAACTGGAGCACCCTTGCACTAGGTTTCTTAGCCCCACTGACCTTAGCCCCATTCTCACCCGCTGGAGCACCCAACTCAGCCCCCGCCCCGTTTTTGAGTTGACCCAAAAGTCCACTGAGGTCTCAACCCCCACCCCCTAACCTCTATCATTCTGGTTGCGAAAAAACGCTGTCCTTCTCCCACCAGGGCGCCATTCTGCTGCATGCCGATCGGTCCGAGACAGCAGCGGTGGCGGCAGCAGCAGCAGCCATTTTTCGGAGAGCATACACTCAGAAGCAAGACCTGCGGGTGTTCCAAGGTATTGGTGCAAGGTGGTGTTCCAATGTAGCGCGAGAGAGAAGCCAGGTCATGTCCTTTCTTGATGTGCGTGTTATGACAAGAACGAGGGGTGGCCCACTGACTCTGTGTTTTTCCGGAGAGCATAAACACAGAAGCAAGACCTGCGGCTGCGGGTGTTACAAGGTGGTGTTACAAGGTGGTGTTACAAGGTGGTGTTACACGGTGGTGTTACAGGGTGGTGTTACGAGGGGGTGTTAGAAGGTGGTGTTGCAAGGCGGTGTTAGAAGGTGGTGGTGCAAGGCGGTGTTAGAAGGTGGTGGTGCAAGGCGGTGTTAGAAGGTGGTGGTGCAAGGCGGTGTTAGAAGGTGGTGGTGCAAGGCGGTGTTAGAAGGTGGTGTTGCAAGGCGGTGTTAGAAGGTGGTGTTGCAAGGCGGTGTTAGAAGGTGGTGTTGCAAGGCAGTGTTAGAGAGGAGAGAGAGGCATGTGCAGTTCCCCTCTTCCTCTTCCTCTTCCTCTTCCTCTTCCTCTTCCTCTTCCTCTTCCTCTTCCTCTTCCTCTTCCTCTTCCATCTCCACCGAACTCACCCTCTAACTATGCTTGTAAATTTGAGACCAAGTGATGCCTCTTTTGGGCAATTCACCTTCCAAACCAGGTAGCACCTTCCAAACCAGGTTGCACCTTCCAAACTAGGTAGCACCTTCCAAACCAGGTTGCACCTTCCAAACCAGGTAGCACCTTCCAAACCAGGTAGCACCTTCCAAACCAGGTAGCACCTTCCAAACCAGGTGGCACCTTCCAAACCAGGTAGCACCTTCCAAACCAGGTAGCACCTTCCAAACCAGGTGGCACCTTCCAAACCAGGTAGCTAGCAACCCTCGGATGATGACGGCATTTTCTGTCGTCGCATACTCCTGTTCCTGCCGTTGCTCCGAACCACCCTCCCAGGTCTGGTCCGAGCCTACCTGCGCATTCCGAAGCTGAAGGAGGCCATAGCAGCAGCTCGAGAGGCAGTCAAGGCGTTCCCTAACTCTGCCAGCGCTTTGTCTCTTCTGGGGGAGGTGTATCTGCAGCACGGGGACAGCAGGGACAAGGTAGTGCTACCCTAAAAGCCCCCTCTTCTTTTTCACTACTCATGGTGTTTGCAAAATGTTTCTCTGTTGTGTTTCTAGTCGACAGAAAATACCTCCACTCACCTGCGACCAACACCCTCCACCTCCCCTTTCCCCTCCTCCCTCCCCACGGCGGGTGCGCAAGGTGTTTGAAGCTGCACCGACGATGGCCATTCCCTGCGCTCTGCGTCAAACAATCCTCCCTCCTGCTCTTGCCTCCTGCTCTTGCCTCCTGCTCTTGCCTCCTGCTCTTGCCTCCTTCTCTTGCCTCCTGCTCTTGCCTCCTGCTTTTGCCTCCTGCTCTTGCCTCCTGCTCTTGCCTCCTGCTCTTGCCTCCTGCTCTTGCCTCCTGCTCTTGACCCCTCCTGCTCTTGCCTCCTGCTCTTGACCCCTCCTGCTCTTGCCCCCTGCCCTTGACCCCTCCTGCTCTTCCCACCTGCCCTTGACCCCTCCCCCTCTGCAGGTGCGCAAGGTGTTTGAAGCTGCACTGAGGATGGCCAGCCGGTGTGCTGCTTCTAAGAACCCCCCGTTTACTGCCCGCCCCCCCTCTACACACCCACACACACCACTGCAGGCACACAAGGTATTCGAGGCTGCACTCAGGATGGGCAGTCACTGTGGCGCTGCTGTCACGGAGAAGCCTCTTCCTTTTTGCAACTCTCCTCAGGGATCGCTGCTGCCCCTTAGAACTCTCCTTTGATCTCCCCTCCACCCCTCCATACACCCACACAAACCATTGCAGGCGCGTAAGGTGTTTGAGGCTGCTCTGCGGATGGATGGACAGTCGGTGCGATGTGCCTTATTCTTGTCCTCCCACCTGCTCCTGTCCCTGCCCTTGCCCCCTCCCCCTCTGCAGGCGCGCAAGGTGTTTGAGGCTGCTCTGCGGATGGACAGTCGTTGTGGCGCTGCTGTCACGGGATTGGCTGACGCACACAGCATGGATGGCCGGCACGCTGCGGCTGTTGACGTGTGAGTCTGAACTTATCTGTGTGCCACACACTGGCAGTGTGCAGCAGACTGGCAGTGTGCAGCAGACTGGCAGTGTGCAGCAGACTGGCAGTGTGCAGCAGACTGGCAGTGTGCAGCAGATTGGCAGCGTGCAGCAGACTGGCAGTGTGCGGCAGACTGGCAGTGTGCAGCAGACTGGTTGTGTGCAGCAGACTGGCAGTGTGCAGCAGACTGGCAGTGTGCAGCAGACTGGCAGTGTGCAGCAGACTGGCAGTGTGCAGCAGACTGGCTGTGTGCAGCAGATTGGCAGCGGTGCAGCAGACTGGCAGTGTGCGGCAGACTGGCAGTGTGCAGCAGACTGGTTGTGTGCAGCAGACTGGCAGTGTGCAGCAGACTGGCAGTGTGCAGCAGACTGGCAGTGTGCAGCAGACTGGCAGTGTGCAGCAGACTGGCAGTGTGCAGCAGACTGGCAGTGTGCAGCAGCAGACTGGCAGTGTGCTGCAGCAGACTGGCAGTGTGCAGCAGACTGGCAGTGTGCAGCAGCAGACTGGCAGTGTGCGGCAGACTGGCAGTGTGCAGCAGACTGGCAGTGTGCAGCAGACTGGCAGTGTGCAGCAGACTGGCAGTGTGCAGCAGCAGACTGGCAGTGTGCTGCAGCAGACTGGCAGTGTGCAGCAGACTGGCAGTGTGCTGCAGCAGACTGGCAGTGTGAAGCAGCCTGGCAGTGTGCAGCAGACTGGCAGTGTGCCGCAGTAGACTGGCAGGAGGCCAAGCTTGGTGTTGGTCACACTACATCCTCTCACACCCGTTCCTCTCACACCCGTGGTGAAGCTGTGTGGCAGTGGGCGTTGAGAATTCTCAAAAGCCAACTCAGCTGGCATGGTGTTGAGTATCTGTCTCTCACATCCTTGTCCCCCTCTCTCTGCTTCTTTGTGTCTCGGGCCTCAGACAATCTCGAGCGCCACCTGGCAGGGGACGCTGCTGACTGGCAGTGGGCGCTGGCATGGTCTTGAGTATCCCTCAAATTCTATTTCTCCCCTCCCTTCTTCCTTGTTTCCCATGCTTCTCCCAGCTTGGAGCGCCACCTGGCAGTGGACGCTTCTGACTGGATCCACGTGAAGCTCGGGTTCGTCCACATGGCGGCCAACCGGCTGCCCGACGCGCTGCACCACCTGCAGACGGCGCTCAGGTGATGCTGCCGTGGCATGCTAAGATGCGGTAACCATGGACTGCCATGCTTGTTGTCCAATGGGTGACCATTCCGTGCCCCGCCACCCACCTCGCTTCCTCCTGTATCTCTTCTCACTCCACCTAATCTTGCTGTGTGTGCTTGTCTTGTCTGCATGGTGGCATACATGCACACACGTTTTAACGCTTGCATGCATGCACATGCGGATGCATGTGTAACCACATGAACACATGTATGCTTGTATGCACAGCGCATGCATGTGCATGCGATGTTGATACTCCTTCTGCCTGATGTCTTCTGCATGTCACCCTTTGCCTGCACACATACCCTGCCACGTCAGCATCAATCCGTCCAATGAGAACGCCAAGAGAGGGCTCAACCGCATCGACAAGCTTCTCAAGGTGATCCACGTTCCACCCCTTCCCATTCCGTTCCACCCCTCTCCACTCCATTCCACCCCTTTCCATGCGATGCTATGCCTAACCATACCATGCCATACCATGTCACCTCCAGTGCCAATCCATGTCGGTGTGTCACGTTGTCACATCCTAGGGTTCCCAGCAGTACACGTCACCTTGTATAAAGTACCCCCCCCCCCCCCCTTCCCCCTTGACTGCAAACAGGGAGGTGATGGGGATGAGGAGGAAGAAGAGGCATCACTCCAATATGGCACTGGCGGTCCATTGTTCGAATGATAAAAGATAATTTGGGCGACAGACTTACTGTACATGCCTTGCTTGATAGCCCTTGCCGATAACCCTTTATGGGTGCCTTGGTTAGTGCATGGTTGACTTCCGTGCCTTGTTTCTTTGTAATAGAGAGCCTTTTATCAGACTCTCGCATCACTGCAGTTAGCCTGATGCAAAGTGGTTCAATGTGGCATAGAATTGTTTAACGCTTGGCATTCTTTAAAACTGTTTCACGCTCGGAATTCTCATCACTCAGGCGAAAGCTGCAAGTCTGATACAAGGCTAGAAGGAACCCGCCCTTAGGGTCCAGGGTGAAAGAGTAAGTCCAAAACTAGCACTACTGTACAGAACAAGTGCACCACATCAAGGGCAGCTAGACTAACTACTCGCTCTTACATATGTTAGCGGTTAGCAATATGGTACAAGTTACGGAGCTGCTACAACAGCTCCCAAGGCCAGAAGGCGCAGCACGAGACGTGCGAAGCCCTTCGGAAAAAAACGAGGGTGATACGCTTGCGATCCTCCCCTTCAAGTCACCACCTTTCAGCACGCCGCATTCGTACGCATTTCAGAGGGTAAGTGTATGGTCACAGAAACAGCGTGTGGTTTCCACCGAAGCCCTAGCATGCCATCAAGCGCCCTCCCAGCACCACATCCCCAATCCCCCCAGCTCCCACTGCTGCATCTCCCCCTCCGCCTCCACACCCTCCAGTTTTCCCCCAGTCTCCGCCTCGTCCGCAAAGCAGTGCGCGCGGAGCACATCATCCGCGCACAAGGCATCCAACGTCTTCTCCGCGTCTGCCGACCCTTCCCCATCCCCACCACACTCCGCGCCGTGAATGCATCTCCGCAAAGCTCCGCCTGCAGAAGCGCGCCGATGTCTTCCGCGCCCAACGGCTCTTCCCAGGCGCCGACGCAAGCTCCGCTCAGAGCACTCGGCGGAACAACGGCGAGGAATGACTGCGCGTATTCCGCGCAGATAAGATCCCCGCCGCGAACCGATTCGCCAGCGAGTGAGCTTTCAACCTCCGCCGGGTCTCCGCCAACACTACTGCCGCGCGAGTAATCGCCACCAGCAGCGGCGGAGCATGCGGAGTCGGCGGGGGAAGCCGGCGTTGGCGCGACGCCGTCAACCTCCCCTTCCCCCTCCTCGTCTTCCCCAAGCGCCTCGAGCACCCACCACGGAAGGCTTGTCGACGGCGATCGGCCATCAGACGCGCCACGCAGATGCTTCGCCGCAGCTTCGGACTCCCCCCAGCAGGTAGCGCCAGACCAGAGAGGGAGCGATTCGGCACAATCATCGCTGTCGAGTACGGCGGCGTCCCCGTTGTTTGCGCCCATCTTCTCCGACTTGCCGCGCACTCTCCGCTCCGCCAAGTCTTCTGCGGTCCTCTTCGTCCCGCGGGAGCCGCCTATCTTCGACTCTTGAGATAGTCTTTCCGCGAAGCACAGGCGCTCGGCGGGTAGGTCGCTGAACATATCAGACTCGTCGAAGTTCGAGCCGCTACCCTCATGCGTTTTCGCGCCGACTGAGCTGCTGGCGCCACTGTAGTCGCAGTCGACAGGAAGCGGCCGGCAGCAGTCCGGCAGCGCCGAGCAAAACGGACGGACGAGACATGTCGAGGGCGTCGGCTGCGGGCGCGGCGGCAAAAAGCGACGCACGGCTCGCGATGCGACCGAACGACGATGTCGCCGATGCGGAGGGCGACGCGGGAAGCGCAGTCGGGGTGCGAGCGGAGAAGTCGAGAGCTGCGTGAGCAGCTGCAGCTGGTGTCGGAGCCATTCGTTCATGAGGAGCGGACTCCACGAAAATGTGTCGCGAAAGACGTCTCGACGGGAAGGTTTGTACGACGCTACCGTTGTCGTCGGAATAGGTCGTTTTGCGGGGTTTGCTCAGATGCCGTAGAGGCAAGCGGTTGATGAGAGGGCTTGCAGCCTCCATGGTATATTGTAGTGGGCCCTACGTGATTACTACCTTCAGTGAGTTACTCGCCTCCACAGTGGGTGCACTCTGGAGGCAGGTGGGACAGATCTTGGCAGAGGTGGGCGATGGTGTGCCAGGAACTTAGACAGGGGCGGCGGGGAGGACGGAGTGTAGTTGGGGCAAACTGAGGGAGGGGGGAGGAATTGCAGCGCAGGTTACGGAAGAAATGTATGCTGGTGGGAGGGAGGGGGTTTTTGAGTGCCACAGTTGGTTGGCTGGCAGAGGAGAGCGGGGCAGAGCAGAATGGAATGAGCAAGCGGGGGTTGGGGGAAAGAAATCTAGAGTGTTGATCGAAACTTGAGGGGCATTGGCTTCGCGCGTCGATTTTGCTGCCAATGGCAGCTGGAAGCATCGCAAAAGGATCTTGAAGCTGGCGAAAAAGCGCAGCGCGCGGCACAGGTGGGCGGAGGCGTCAGCCAATCCCCGAGGACGGTTGGCGGGATGCGGTGAATATGGCGGACACGCAGCGGAATACTGAAGGCCTTCTGTTCTGTCTTGGAATAGGGGGAAAGGGGCACTGCAGCAGCAGGCATGGTTGGGGGTGCGCTAGGGTAGGGTGGTTGCGGGTGCCCGGGGTGCTCTGCCTCGAAAGTTTTGGACAGCTTGGCGGAGCAGAGGACGAAAGCGGAACTGCAGCGTGGCGGAAGACCCGGAAGTTGCCCGGCTGTGAGTTAAACGAGCCGCGGCGCGGAGCATGAGGGAGCCACGTCAATACACCTCATCAGGGCGCCAAGTCCCGAGGATGAAGACCGAACTTCGTTTCGTCAACGTGGAAAGGGGCAGACGAGGCAAATGTACTTTGGGCCCGACGCTCACTGGGGCTAAGTGAATTCTCGGCGTTTTTGCGAATTCGTGGTTTGTATATCTGGTCCCAATCCGATCACCAGAAATGCTCCACAGAGGCACACAAAAAGCACTATACAAAGGGTTTCAGAATGCATACAACATGGTAGGCCCATCAAGGAAAAATTAAAACAATTCACAGGGTAAACAAGTTAACTGAGTAATCTATCTTGCCCTGTTCTTGCAAGCACTGACCGCCGCGAAATCATATAGGCAGACGACGATCTGCCCCTTCCCGCCGTGACAGCTGAACATGCAATCGCTGACACATCCTTGCTGCCCCTACATTTTCCTTTTTTTGCGCACCCACATCTCTGGCATCATCATCCGAATATTCTCTCCGAAAATGACTTTTATGCTGACAACGTAGGCGCCATTGAACCGCATCGTAGCCTTTTGTAACGCACAGAAGACTGCAAATAAGCCGAGCATCCTCTAGTACCGCATTTGAATGTCGGTATTTCTCGACAGTCGGCGTCCCTTGAACCAGCCCTCAATTTTAGGTGCCAGGACGAGTCTACGGTCAGAATTCGCAAACACAGAGTTTATCGAGAATGAAAGAAAATATTCATCACGTGAATCCAGCTGACAACCAATGAACGACACGCTTCCACGCACATCACCAGATTTCCAGCACGTCGACGTTGTCCCTTCCACCAACATAGGAATGAGGAGTGCTCACCCAGCATGAACGTACAAAAAAGGGGTACGATATTGCGCTCCCTATGCAGGTAAATGACCTTCTTTAGGGAGGGCATAAACAACATTCATCGTTGTTACTCTTAGCGTGCTTTCATCAGCACATTATACTCTTGTTGCACTTTGCAGTTTTGAAAAGGACCTATAATATAATCATATAATGCATAATTTAGAGCAACAATTATTATACATATATAATAATATATAAATAAAATTCAATCAAAGTAAATATTTATCGAACTTTCAAGTTACATAAGATTTTTATATATTAATACTTAAGATAAATCATACACTCAATATTTTGTTTGCTAATGCGCATCCTCGACTTACATGCTTCTACTTTGGAATATCATATTAAAATTTCATCCATAATTAGTGTTCAAGTTATTTGTCATTCTCATACCAAGCAAAGTGTTCGATCTGGGGGCTTCGGGGATATTCCCACAAGGCGGGGTCAGTATCAAACTAAACTAGACTAGTCGGATCTCCATATCAATCATATAACACAAATATTATGCATATAGACCGTGCATGTCCGCGTGGTATACCACGTGTAAGGAATTAGAATTCCTTACTGCGCTAAACTACATTGCGTACACCCGAAGTCCTCAAACTCGCATGCTAGGCCTATATTGTCTGCCTGAACATTCCCGAGTCGCGTTCCGAGACCCTCGCCACCCAACCAACCCACCTCTCGTCCCGAGGTTCTCGCCCTAGCTCGTCTATGCCCTATTTTAGCCAATTCGCTCGTCACTTGCTGATTGGTTTTTTTCCAATGTTGTATTTCCATTACTAAGTCGGTTGTTCCATTCCCACTCATAACATCTGGTATTTAGATCACTTTCTTAGGCTAGTCGCTTCCCTTGCCCGATATTTTGTTTAAGGGGGGGGAGGGGGGGAGGGGGGGGGGGAGGGGGAAAAGAAGAGATGGCTTGAGGGCCCGAGGCTGCACATCGGTTGCCCAGGAGCTAGATATGATTAGCTCCTACAACTACGATAGCATGTGCGCCTCTAAGCCATTCGATCCCTGCCTTTGGATGGCCTGGATTGGTCGTGCCCTGCCCTCTCCCCGGAAACGGACAGCTGTATCTGTCGCGAGTTTTTGCCACGTAAGTTGGTGGCGTTCATTTCAGTTGATTTGAGCCTGCGGATGGCGCTGTCGTCACGCGGCGAAGAAATTTTCAAGACGGCTGGCGCGGACTTCTTCAGTGGCTCGCAAAATTTCCTAAGCTCGCCTCGTGGGAAAATGAAAGTTGTGGACCTCGCCAGACGCACAAGGAACGTGCAGCAGGAATTATTCTACCAGAAATCATGCGCGAGTAGACAGTTGTCTCGTCTGGACTGGCGCGGAGTGCTACCAGGTGCGTGCGTCATGGCTAATTTTCGGCAGGAGTGACGCATTATGGGATGGCGCGTGCTTGACCAGCTTCGGGGAACCACGGTATTCTCCAAACTATATCTGCGGCCCGGATACTGGAAAATAAGAATGGCGGACAATTCCATCTACAAAATTGCCTTCCGAACTCGGTACGGGTCGTACGAGTATCTGGTAATGCCGTTCGGACTCACCAACGCACCGGCAACGTTCCAAGCCAAAATGAACCACATTCTATGCCCACTCTTGGACAAATGCGTGGTGGTGTACGTGGATGACATCCTCATCTACTTGCGCGACATGAAGTAGCACGTCGAACACATGCGATGCGTCTTCGACATTCTTTGATGAGAACGATTCTACGTAAAATTATCCAATAGCGAATTCGCCCTCAAGAAGGTCCAATTCCTAGGACACATGGTGAGCGCTCAAGGAGTTCACGTCGACCCCAAAAAGATCGCAGTCGTGCACATGTGGAAGACACCCAAGAACGTGAAGGAGTTGCAGCAGCTCCTAGGCTTCGCTAACTATTACAACAGGCTTGTGTCACAGAATGCGAAAATCGCCGCGCCACTCACGAATCCGCTGAAGAAGAACATGCCCTATAAGTGGGAACCAAAACATCAGGAAGTCATAGAGCAGCTAAAACAAGCACTTACGTCCGCACCTGTACTCATCTTGCCAGACCTCGAACGCGACTATGTCATTGAAGCTGACGCTAGTGACCAAGCAGCGGGAGCACTCTCGATGCAAGGCCAGGGGAATGGACAGCAACCAATCGTTTACCTCAACAAAAAATTGCGCCGGGCAGAACTAAATTACCCGATACACGACAAAGAAGCCCTTGCTATTACTATCGCATTCAAAACATGGAGATGTTATCTCGAAGGACGAAAAACAACCATCTACACCAACCACTGCAACGTGAAATACAGCGACGGAAAGTATTGCCCGGATAATTGCCTTAAAACATTTCTCGTACTGGTTTGGTGCCTTCTTTGTTTAGTTACGAATCAAATTTCGGGGTTGGATGTAAAGTAGTACTGTACTGTATGTGACGGATGCTGGTTTCAGTTTTATAGGGGCCGCTTTTTTACCGAGGACGAGATTTCGTCCGCGTGGGTGCATCCGGACAGTTTAGGCCAAGCAGCGTAGTAGATCTATTTCCTAACCTCGCTATTTCTTCTTACTTGCCCTCGCGACTATCGAGTAGTTAGGAGATAGGCTAGGACCACTGCGATGATTAGGCAGTCATGAAACCGTTAGATGAGGCGCTCTACGCATAGATCATTCCCTTGTTGCGGAGGGGGTAGAGCAATTGTTGAATCGCTAAACAGCTAGCCATAGGGAAGAGTTCGGCCAATCAAGGCGATTGTAGAGTCTAGCCGCGAGGACGTGCGTCCTACGATGCCCTCAGCCGGTCGCCATCGCTTAGTGACAGAGAGAGAGTTCGCCGCGGCATAGTTCGGTCGATTACCCTCGAGGAGGCAGAAATCTCCGCTCACGTGGCGAAAATCGTTGAGAAGCAGCACGGCATCACGTTGCATCCTAAGACATTGCGTAACGCTTTGAATGGGAGCCGACTTGTTGCAATCAAGCATCCCAAGAAACCGCGACACTCTCGGAAAAACATACGCGATAGGCTGGAATGGGCGCGTGCCCACGCAGACTGGACGGTTGACGACTAGAAGCGAGTTATCTGTGCGGATGAGACCAAGATCGGTCGTCTTGCATCCGACTGACTCTCATACGCCTACGTTTACGAAGGGACTGCCCTCCAAAGACACCACATCAAGCAGACCGTCAAACACGGGGGCGGTTGCTTGATAATTTACGCCTGCATGTCGTAAAAGGGAGCGGGCTTCATGAGCAAAACATATGGTAGGGTGGACGGACTGCTCTCGCTGAGTATACTGCAGGACGATCTCAACAGTACGATTGAGCTTTACCAGCTTACACCCTCAAAAACTATCTTCCAGCACGACAACGACCCGAAGCACAAGTCGCGTATCGTACAGGAGTGGCTTTGAGAGTAAGATTCAGGGGTGCTAGAGTGGCCGTCTTCCTCACCCGACCTCAACCCAATGGAGCATTTATGGGCTCATCTCAAGAGGCAGCTGGCCAAGCCTTATAAGCCTCCCACTGGTATGCAGGACCTTTGGGAGCGGATGCAGGAGAAATGGGAGAAGATCCAGGCGGATGTGTGCACCCACCTGGTGGAAAGCATGCCCAGGAGGGTGA